TTCAACATCAGTATTGGGACACTGATCTATACTCAACTTGAATTGAGGGTTTGTTGGAGTCACAACAGGCTTTGAATTCGACATACCAAAATTTTTGAGAACCTTCCATAGGTATGCCTCTTGAGATAAGCAGAATTTCGACTGCTTTCTATCTCTTCGGATGTCAATCCCAAGAATCTTGGACGCAGTTCCTAGATCCTTCATGCCAAACTCCTTATTAAGTTCAGCTTTCACCCTCACTACAACTTCGACATTGTTGCTTACTATTAAAATATCATCCACATAGAGCAACAAAATAACAAATGAATTACCTGGTCAAAATCTGAAGCAAACACAGTGGTCGAACTGACTTCTGATAAAATTATGCGTGCCATAACCTTGTCGAATATCCTATTCCTCTGTCGAGGAGATTATTTAAGTCCATATAATGATCTATTCAGCTTTCACACATAATCTTCCTACCCTTTTTCGACATACCCTTCAGGATCCATCATCAGGATTGTTTCATCTAAATCACCATACAAGAATGCAGTCTTCACATCCATCTATTCCAATTCAGGGTCGAACTGTGCCACTGTGGCAAGCAACATTCAAATGGATATGTGCTTCACAACAGGATAGAACACATCATTAAAGTCGACACCTTCTTTCTGAGTGAATCCCCAAGCAACCAATCTTGCCTTATATCTTTTTGACGTCACTCTTTCGATTCCTTTCTTAACTTTGAAAATCCATTTACAACTGACTAACCTAGCTCCAACATGTTTCTTGATCATTCCCAGGTGTTGTTATCATGAAGATATTTCATCTCATCATCCATGGCCTTCAGCCATTCAGTCTTCTTTCGACTCTTCATAACTTCCTTATAGTCTCTAGGTTCTTCATCTAGAACCTCACTTGCAGAGATTAAGGCATAAGATATAAGATCTGCATACCCAAGTCTCTGAGGTGGCTTGATGACTCTCCTTTTCTTATCTCTTGCTAGAAGGTAGTCATTATCAGTCTCCTCATCTTGGACAACATCTTCTGTGTCTTCTTCGACTTCATCTGGGGTACGCAATTCAACATCAACATGCTCCACCTCAACAGGAATCTCTCACTGTTCCATCTCTTTGTTAGCATAATTAGTTTTCTTGAAAGCCATCTCTACTTCATTGAAAACTACATCTCGACTGATGACACACCTTCTGTGACCTGGCTCTAGGCATCATAGCCTATAAGCTTTGACTCCTTCAAGGTATCCCATGAACATGCATTTCAGAGCTCTAGGTTCGACCTTGTCTTGCCTAATATGAGCATAGGCCACACAACCAAATACTCTCAATCTGTTGAGACTAGGTGGATGTATCAACCAAACTTTTTCAGGTGTTTTCATTCCCAAGGAATTCGAGGGACATCTATTTATCAGGTAAGCTGCTGCCGAAATAGCTCCCGCCTAAAACACCTTCTTCAATCCAGCACTAACCAACATACATCTAACCCTTTCAAGGATTGTTCGATTGAATCTCCCAGCTAAGTCGTTTTGTTGAGGAGTACCTACTACAGTCTTATGCCTTGTAATCCCAGACTCAACACAGTAATTATCGAATGCTTCGTTGTAGAACTCAAGGCCATTGTCGGTTCTCAACCTCTTGACCTTTCTACCAGTTTGAGTTTCGAATAGAACCTTCCAACTTTTGAAATTCTCAAAAGTTTCATCCTTCATCTTTTGGATGAATACCCATAACTTTCTGGAATAGTCATCAACGATGGATAGAAAATACTTTGCACCTGAGTGTGAAGGATTCCTTGCAGGCCCCCAAAAATCAGCATGAATGTAATCCATGGATCCATGTGTTCTTTTCTTGCCTTTGTTAAACTTCGCCCTACAGGATTTACCAAATACACAAGATTCACAAAACTCTAATTTTTCGACTTTGTCGCCTCCTAGCAGGTTCTGCTTCCTCAATTTGACCAGGCCTCTTTTGCTGACATGGCCTAATCTCATGTGCCATAATTCTATCTCCGACACAGGTTTCATAGATGCACATTTTTCGAACCACTTACAACCTCAGCCTCAAGGGTATATAAGCCTTGTTTCTTCACGCCTCTCAAAACTTCCTTCGATCCCTTCATGACTCTTAGGATACTTTTCTCTCATTGAAAAACATATCCCTTTCTGTCGAATTCACCAAGAGAAATCAAATTTCTCTTCAAGTCAGGTACATACCTGACTTCAGTCAATAACCTTATTGACTCATCATGAAGCTTTAATCTCACAGATCCAATACCTGCAATTTTGCATGATTTTTTGTTTCCCAGCAGCACAGATCCACCATCTTGATCACATAGCTCCTCGAACAATTCTCTATTTGGAGTCATGTGCCAAGTGCAATCTGAATCCATAATCCACTCTTTTTTTGAGTCGCCACTTGAAACCACAAGAACATCAGATTAGTCAAAGCCATCTTAAACAATGGCTACGTTGCCATTACCTCCATGATCTTTTCAGCGTTCAGGGCACACCTTTCTTGTGCGACCCTCCTTCTTATAGTGATAACATCGAATACCAGATGTTTCGCTACTATAATATTTCTGTTGACTTTTACCTTTCTTCTTGTCGAACTTACCATCCTTGTGTAAGAATTTTACCTTAACGGCCAAACCTTCGTCCGCCGTCGAAGGTTTATGTTCTTTTTGTTTGTTCAAGTCCTTAGACTATAAGGCTAGTTGAACTTCTTCAAAGGTCAGGGACTCCCTTCCATACAAGAGAGTTTCTTTGAAGTGAGCATGTATTATGGGTAAAACACACAACAACAACAACAATGTTTGATCTTCATCATCGATCTTCACATCAATATTCTCAAGATGGAAGATTAGCTTGTTGAATATATCCAACTGCTCAGCCAACACTTTGTCTTTACTCATCTTGCATGAATACAAAGTTTGCTTCAGGTAGAGTCGATTCACCAGAGATTTGGTCATGTACAAACTTTCAAGTTTCACCCATAATCCCGATGTTATAGTCTCCTTTGATACCTGTCAAAGAACCTTATCACCAAGGCTCAACAATATTGCACTGTGTGCTTTCTCAATCATGCCCGTCTTTTCCTTTGTGTCTAATACAACGTCCATGACTGCCCCTCCCTTCAACGCTTCCAAACAACCTTGATGAACCAGTAGAGCATTCATCTTCAAGCGCCACAGATCAAATTCATTCACTCCGGTGAACTTTTCAATCTCATACTTTGTTGAAGGAATCTTCTCCATGCTCACCGCACCAATTTGTTGTGAATCGGATACCTTGAAACAAAGTATAAATGATTTATTTATGGTCAAAAAACACACAAGGGTTAGGATTAACAAAGATAACAAGGTAAAACAAGGAACAACAAGGATTGGTTATAAACTGCTATTCTTTCTTTACTCTTAGAACAAGATTACAAGTATACAAGAATAACAAAATAACCTCTCTCTCTTGAAATTAGGATTTTATCTTCCTATTTTTCTTTATGCCAAGATTGAGAAACTAACATCATATTTATAAGAAAAATAGCACACTAACCTAATGAGCTTTTTAACAATTACCCATTACCAGCTAACTTAGGTACAAGCTAACTGAAACAATTGGGCTTGCAAACAAGGCCCAATTCAACATGCTAACAACCCTAGCAATATTGAATAATGCATGTTAGAACAAACTTCGAATACAACACGCATTACTCTAACATCAGCATGTGAACATACTTCGACCTCATGCTTAATTCCTGTCGAACCAGAAGCTACCTTTCGACCATACTAGAGTTTGATCCAACATCTCACTATATATATATATATATATATATATATATATATATATATATATATATATATATATATATATATATATATATATATATATATATATATATATATATATATATATATATATATATATATATATATATATATATATATATATATATATATATATATATATATATATATATATATATATATATATATATATATATATATATATATATATATATATATATATATATATATGAGTACTAACATAATTAAATGTATGTGAGAATAAATTGTATCGCTAATTTTGTGACCAATTTAGCGACTATTGATATTTCAATCACGTGAATTTAGTTTGGTGGTTGATTTAGTGACTATAGTGATCGAAACATTTCCTTTGCATCTTTGACTTTATATATCTAGAATTCCCCAATGACACTCGTACCTAAAAAAAGGATGAAAAACACCTTTTATTAGTGTTAGGACAAAGACACCACATTTTTGAAAAAATGGACGAACATATTATGCGACTCCATAATGCATTGTGTTTATGGAATGCACTGCATTTATGAAAACACAAATCATTTTTTAAAATTCTCCAAAATGGGCTTGAATTCAAATTACCATTATAATGTTTTCATTCTTGCTCAATATGAGAATCTATGTAGTATTTTGACTCCACCATAATTATCATGTCACTTGACATGATTTCATCATCGAACTCATCATATCCTAAACTCTTTTCTATAAGATTTATAACTATTTCTTTACGAATATGATTATATTGAAGACAATAATTTGTTATTATTTTTCCTTGAGTTTTAATAACACAGAACAATTTGTCCCTTAAAATAGCTCAACATTCCTTCAAAAGGCCAAAACATTTTTCTAAGCCAGAACAATTTGAACAATCATTAAATAATCATATTATACAAAATAAGATATTCAAAGAAATCTTTAAGACGTTACAAATGATAATGATGATGTTTTTCCCATAAACAAGTTATAAAAGACTTGTCTTCAAACAACATTTCCAAAAGGAAAATAAAAGAAGAAACTAAACGAAAGTACATGCAACAATTAAAATCCATATATAACAATAAAAATTTAGGATCAATGTTGAAATGTACTTTCTTAAAAATTTTGCGATCAAATCACAATAAAAGTGTGACCAAATTGAACCGCAATAAACACCACATAGAAACCATAATTTAAAACCACACATCAAATTTTCATGTTTGCCTATTAGTTCTTCCCATGGAACCCATCATCATTCTTTTAAACTCTTCAAAATCGATCATTCCATCGCCATCACTATCAACACAAGCTATCATCTTTTGGCACTCAATGAGGGAGCATTGATCGCCGATGCTAACCATAACATTGTGTAATTCCTCGGCCGATATTGAACCATTTTTATCAATATCAAAAATGGAGAAAGCATCTTTGAGATTCTCTAAAATCTCATTAGCATCGATGTCTTTCGTGTTTAATTCGATAAACTCCTCGAGGTTGATGTAACCGTCTCTGTCAGCATCAACCTCACGAATCATATTATTGAGTTCTTCTTCTGTCGCGGGTTGTCCTAAATTTCCCATGATAGATCCTAATTCAGAAGAAGAGATTTTCCCATCATTGTTAACATCAAATTTACGAAACACGTGCTCCAAATCTTCGATGAAATGGGCATGTGATTGGTGGGACGGTGTACGAGGGATAAATGTTGTGTTTTCAGTTACGGTTGTTGGGGAAGGTGATGTTGTTTTATTTAAGAGTTTCTTCTTTCGGTGGAACAGGGATCGGAAACCCATATTTTTTTTATTGATCCCACAGAAAATGAGAGAAATTCTTTTTCCTTTGTTGATATTGGAAATTGGAAATTGAGGAAAACAACAGAAAAACTAATGGTGTAAATTACTTGTAATCAAATGTTTATTATTGGTGAAATTATTTATGTCAATCTTTTTTAGCTATATTGGATGTGTTTTTTCAAATATGATTTTGTTCTAATTTTAGAAAACAACTTAGGTATGATTCTTGCATGTGAATCGGGTTGTTATGAGTTTGTTAAATCTATCACAATTTGTTTTCTTTTAAGTTTAACTTCATTTCTATTTTAAGTTTGATTTTTTTAAATATGATTTTGTTCTAATTTTAGAAAACAACTTATGTATGATTCCTGCATGTGAATCGGGTTGTTATGAGTTTGTTAAATCTGTCACAATTTGTTTTCTTTTAAATTTAACTTCATTTCTATTTTAAGTTTGAAATTCATTATTTTCGATACATTAAATCTATTCTTGTTTTTTATACAATTTTTATTTTTGATAAAATCCGTTCTTTTTGTTTTCATTAGTAGTTTTTCTTTATGATAACAAACTTCTAAATAACTTTATCAATATATATTTCTATTTAACATTTGAGTGACTCATGAGGTAACTTTGTATATATAAATTTTAAAAAGAGAAAAAGAATCGAATTACATTTTATTAATATTATTAACATCGTTCAATAATATTTTTATGAAACAAAAGATAAAAATTATTGTTAGATATAAAGTACATATTATATAAATCTTTTTTCATGAAACTTGTTAAAATTAATGATATTTCATAAAAAAAATAAAAATGTAGAAGAGTTAATCTTGATGAGTGTCAATCATATTAAGTAATTTGAAAATTTGGTAAAATTTTAAAAAGATGATCTATTTGATATGATATTTCAAATTAAAGATAAAATTTTTATTCTTTAGAACATTATTGTGCCATTGTAACTTGATATATTTCTTTAAGCCAATATTTTAAAAACATGTCTTATATTTAAAGTTAGAGTCACGAGTGTCACAGGCTAATCTAGTTTCTTTAGAGGAAAAAAAAAACAAAAAAGAATAGAAAAAAAAATTAAAAATCAACCCAATAACTCTTAAGTCCAATTCACTCATAATATTAATAAATTGTGTCGATTCGGATTTTAATATATATATATATATATATATATATATATATATATATATATATATATATATATATATATATATATATATATATATATATATATATATATATATATATATATATATTTTTAAAAGAACATCAAAAATAATAAACTAAAGTGAGAAAACTCACCAAGCCACCCTATATAAAGTACCTCCCTAAATGAATAAACCAATTCCCTAAGCAATATACTTACTAATTTTGTTAACTTATAGGAAATTGAGGTGGAGAACCATGATGCTTCTAAAAATCTTTTTTTTTCTCTTTCATTTCCTAACTTATAGGAAAATGAGGTGGAGAACCATTGATCTAGCTCCTCATCCAATGGAGAGTCCAGAAGACAGATATCTTTTCACTAAAGTAATCTTTGTATTCATTGGATTCCAAGGAAGGATCAAACATGAAAGCTTTAGGATATCTATACCTAAAAAGACTAATTTTCCATTTTCATTTGTTTAAAAAAGACTAATTTAAATCTTCCAAAATTTTTGACTCAAATATCACGTTGCTCCGTGGACAAACAAATCTTAGACCAACTTAACCAAATTATATTATTCTTTTCTTCTATTCCACACTAAAGAAACACACGTTAAAACATCATAATTTTTCTTATAATTTTCTTAGACGCATTATGTAACACCCCGACTTAACTATTTTTTATTTATTTGATTTAATTGATTAATTTATTTAAATAATTATTTTATGTGACTTATGACGTGTTCGGCCGGTGTCGACATTTGTGGTAAATTGTGTTGATTTAATTAGTTTTGGTGAAGAGAGGACCTTAGAGATAGCTTTAGACCTTACTTTTTCTAGAATTACAAGGTAAGGGGGAGATTATTCATCTAAGGGTGTCTAAATCATGAAAGGGTAGAGAGGTTTTCATTTACCTCCAATAGGTTTTTCTTTTCCTTATTGATTGATGATAATTTAATAAACGATGATTGTAATTCTGTTTTATGTCATGAATTGGTGTTCAAATTGTGTTTTGATGTTATGGTGTTTTATGTTCATGAACTAATTGATTCAATGATAAATTTGTGCTGAAATTGGGTGTTTTAGGGTATAAACATAATTAAGTAATTCATTATGAAAATGATAGATTAATGTTAATCAGTAAGTAATTAATATGTTTGATCATGATAGAACGTGTAATTGATGCATTTGAATGTTATAATGAGGATTGAGATGAGGTATAAGGGATATGAGATCAGAAAGATGAACGTTACTATGAAAACTAGGATTTCTGGAAATTTGGTTTATATCAATCGATTAACATCTTGTGTCAATCGATTGCATGTGCGTAAAACTATAAAATTTTGAAAATTTGAACTATGCAATCGATTGACATCCTGTGTCAATCGATTGCATGCATGTGAAAAGTAAAAAATTAACTATGACAATCGATTAATGCTGAGAATTAATTGATTGCATGCAGTCAATAAGCGAAAAATTGAGAAGGCAGTGTGTAAAGGAATTTTACGTCAACCTATTAACACCCCATGGCAATGGATTGATGTTGGATTATTTTTGAAAATTTTCTGAACTGAACTATATTTTAATATCTGATGACTTATGCCATAACTTTAGTTCCATAGGTCCAATGAGGTGTCGTTTGAAGCATTAGAAAGCTATCGCACGGAGCTACCTCATGGTAGTGCCTTGTGGGATGATTGATGTGTGAATGTATGTTAATGTGTGAATATATATTGTGAATTGTATGTATAATTATGTGAATTATCATACATGTTTACTTATGATTAATGATATGAGTTGTTCGAATTGAGAACTACTAGTGATGCATCTAATGCATGATAGATTAGAGTTAGATTGAGGTTGTAATCATTTTTATATTGTTGTTTTTATTTTGTGATTAGTTATAGTCAGAGTGGGGTTGTAATCATCGATTATGTTGTTGTCATTGTATGATTAAATGTCATGCATCGTATGTTATCGTTGTTATGAAATAAGTAGGTTATAAGTTCATAGCGGGGACTAGTGACTTGTCTCAAGCTCAGAGTGGGGGCTTGGAGTTTAGAGTGGGAACTCGATTTGTATGAAGAACCAAATGTTGAGTCGGTACCGTATGCATATAACATTGAGTTATGAGTCAGGTTCAGAGTGAGGATCGTGATGAGCATGAGTTGAGTCGATGTTGCATTGCATTAAGTAATGGTTGTGAAAATGAGATGTTTGTATATTGATGAATACCATTGTATGACTTGTGTGGTTGGTGATTGATCGTGATGTGGATGAAATATGAATATGTGATATTGTGGTGCATGTTTGATATTTGCATGATTATGTTGTATGAATCTACCCTGATTATTTTGTGCACCAATTATTATTTGAACGTATTCTTACCCCTTTTGTTTTGTTGCGTATATGCTCCTCTGGAGTACAAACAACCAGGTACCTGAGTAGGAGCTTGAGGTTGAGGACGATGTTGTGCCTCTTTAGTTGCTTGTTGATCGAGTTTTATAGTTGGAGTTGCTCTGATATGTAACACAAAAGGAACATGTTGTTCTTTTATTTATTTTATGTTGTATATCTTTCCTTTGATTTTTTTTATGATGAACCACTTTTTAAAACTAATAATGTTATTGAGGCTTTTAATACCAAGTATTTTATAATTTCTGGTGCTTATCAAAGGATTTCATTTTCAAGTATGTGGTTCAAATATGAGTTTTATTGTTGTTCAGTATTATCCTACTTGGAAGATATATGAGTTTTACATGGTTTATTTAATTATTTAATGTGTCACCAACGAAATTTATATAAAAAGAATTACTCGATAATTTAAGGTGTCAACAACGATAATCCTTCAAAACTCATTCAACAATTATTATCATGCATCAAAAATCATATTATAACAACCTCAATAAAACTCATCAATTAAGTATTAAAAATTTTAAACACCCAAATAACATCAACTCAAAAACATAACAATCACCCTGTTCCCGATGTTATAATATTAGATCACTAAGAACCACTATTATGCGATAAAATGATAAATAAAAATAAGAATAGCTCCAACAATCCACCTTCCATAAACAACAACAACTTTACTCATGAGTATCTGCAATCCATGGTGGACAACATTCAACAAAGGGGTGAAAAATGAAATTCAATATGAACAATGTAAAGAATGCAAAGGTAGAGAAACATACAACATAACACACATTCAATACACAACCAACATCACCATAATCTCACACCCATTCACAATAATATGCAAATATAATGTTATGCGACTCACGACACAATGCGACACTTATGCATGTGGTACTGTTACACCCCAAAATTTTCCCTCTCTTATTTCTAATCATGATTGGATTGTGTTTTACGTTCATGTGCATTTTCCATTAGGGCGTAACCTTGCATTCATTTGCATTGAGCTCCTAAATACATGGATCAATGCATTTTCCTGTGATTTGAGTTTTCCCTATTCATAGGTGATTTATTTGGCTATTGCACTCGAGTTGAGACAAAGGCTAAATTTCCAACGTCATGATTATCTTCTCTACCTAAGCTCATCAGATATCAAGGTCATCTTCGCCATAATTTTTCAAAAGGACCAGTGTGCATTCAAGGGCAGAAATTTTGGTTTCAAGTCAAGTGTGGTTATTCAGTCATGATTTTGTTCGGGCATTTTAATTTTTAAAATTTTCATTCATTTGAATTTATTGTTACTTCACATAGCATAACACGTATTTTATCTTACATAGTGCCTAAAATGTCACCAGAATAATTTCTCAGATTTATTGACAGACCGGTCAAACTGAATGTTAACGGTGCGTAAAATCAGTGGACGAAAA